TATTTGCAAAATATACATCTGACAAAGGATTAATATCCAGAATATACAAGGAACTCAAACAACTTTACAAGAAAAAACAAGCAACCCAATTAAAAAATGGGCAAAAGAGCTAAATAGGCATTTCTCTAAGGAAGATATACGAATGGCCAACAGACATATGAAAAAAATGCTCAACATCATTCAGCATTCGGGAAATGCAAATCAAAACCACACTGAGATACCATCTCGCTCCAGTTAGGAGGGCTAAAATCCAAAAGACTCTGAACGATAAATGCTGGTGAGGTTGCGGAGGAAAAGGAACTCTCATACATTGTTGGTGGGACTGTAAAATGGTGCCGCCTTTATGGAAAATGGTATGGAGGTTCCTCAAACAATTGCAATTGTTTAAATTGCATATGACCCAGCTATCCCACTGCTGGGAATATACCCAGAGCAATGGAAAGCATCAAGTCAAAGGTATACCTGTTCTCCAATGTTCACTGCAGCACTCTTTAGAATAGCCAAGAGTTGGAACCAGCTCAAATGTCCATCATCAGATGAGTGGATATGGAAAATGTGGTATATCTACACAATGGAATAGTACTCAGCTGTAAAAAAGAATGAAATACTGCCATTTGCAATGACATGGATGGACCGAGAGAGAATTATATTAAGTGAAACAAGTCAGGCACAGACAGAGAAATATCACATGTTCTCACTTATTTGCGGGAGCTAAAAATAAATAAATAAATTCACACACACACACACACAGAGAAAAAAACCAGGGGGGGAGACGAAGAATACATAACAATTGCAATTCCTTGAAATTGATTCGACAAGCACACAGAAAGGACATTGTTGGGAGGGAGTGGGGAGAAGGAGGAGGCAGGGAGGTTTCGGTAATTGGCCACAATAATCAACCACATTGTATTTTGACAAAATAAAATATTAATAAAAAAAAAAAAGTTCAAAAAAAAAAAAGAAAAGTAACGAAATCCGGTATGTATTTTACACTTATACCACATCTCAGTGTGGGCACTGTATTTTCAATAGCTAATGTGAAATGTCCTACCAAAAGAATGAAGTTGACTTTAGTGGAGAATATTTTACACTGCTTCCATTCTTAAATATAAATGTAAATTAAATTAAATTTAAAATTCCATTTTTAAATTGTACCAGCCACATTCCAAGTGCTCGGTAGCTATGTATAGCTTGCAGTGACCTGGGACAGTGCAGCCCTATATAAACTGATCTCTAAGGTGTTTTGTTAAACCAAAAAGCAAGCTATAGAACAATATCCATAGTATGCTA